GCGCCGGCCGCTCAGTAGCCCAGCAGTCTCCTGGCTTCCTCGCTCTGGGCCTGGAGGGTCTCGCTGGCGTACTTGTGCAGGAGTTCCATCTTCTTCCTGCGAACCAGGGCCTCCTCGATCTGTGGGCGTGGGGAGGCCAGAGGTCAGAGGGGAGGAGGCCGGGGCGGGAGGCTCGCTCGGGGTCGGGAGGTGGAGGCCAGCCTGAGCAAGAGCGAGACTTCCCCGTCTGTCTCTACCGAGAAATAGAAGGAAATTAATTTGGCCAACTAATATATATATGCCTGTATAGTCCCAGCTACCCGGGAGGGAGGCTGAGGCGGGAGGATCGCTGGAGGTCAGGAGTTCGAGGCCAGCCTGAGCAAGAGCGAGACCCCGTCTCTACTAAAAAAAATAGAAAGAAATTAGCTGGACAAGTAAAAATATATAAAAAAACGAGCCGGGCGTGGTGGCGCGTGCCTGTAGTCCCAGCTACTCGGGAGGGGAGGCCGAGGCGGGAGGCTCGCTCGAGGCCAGGAGTCCGGGGCCAGCCTGAGCAAGAGCGGGACCCCGTCTCTACTCAAAATAGAAAGAAATTAATTGGCCAACTAATATATACAGAAAAAATTAGCCAGCCTATAATCCCAGCACTCTGGGAGGCCGAGGCGGGAGGATCGCTCGAGGAGGTCAGGATTTCGAGGCCAGCCTGAGCAAGAGCGAGACCCCGTCTCTACTAAAAATAGAAAGAAATTAATTGGACAACTAAAAATATAAAGAAAAAATTAGCCGGGCGTGGTGGCGCATGCCTGTAGTCCCAGCTACTCGGGAGGCTGAGGCAGGAGGATCGCTTGAGGTCAGGAATTCGAGGCCAGCCTGAGCCCAAGAGTGAAACCCTTGTCTGTATTAAAAATAGAAAGAAATTGGCCAATTAAAAATATATGTAGAAAAAACGAGCCGGGCGTGGTGGCGCATGCCTGTCGTCCCAGCTACTCGGGAGGGAGGCCGAGGCAGGAGGATCGCTTCAGGTCAGGATTTCGAGGCCAGCCTGAGCAAGAGCGAGACCCCCGTCTCCAGTAAAAAAAAAAAAAAAAAAATAGAAGAAAATTAATCGGACAACTAAAAATATAAATAAAAAAACGAGCCGGGCGTGGTGGCGCATGCCTGTCGTCCCAGCTACTCGGGAGGGGAGGCCGAGGCGGGAGGCTCGCTTGAGGCCAGGAGTCCCGGGCCAGCCTGAGCAAGAGCGGGACCCCGTCTCTACTCAAAATAGGAAGAAATGAATCGGCCGACTAAAAATACACGAATAAAAAAACGAGCTGGGCACATGGAGGCGTATGCCTGTCGTCCCAGCCACTCGGGAGGGAGGCCGAGGCGGGAGGATCGCTCGAGGCCAGGAGTTGGAGGCCAGCCTGAGCAAGAGGAAGACCCCGTCTCTACTAGAGAAAAAAACAAAAATAGAAAGAAATTAATTGGTCAACTAATATATATAGGAAAAAAACGAGCCGGGCGTGGTGGCGCATGCCTGTCGTCCCAGCTACTCAGGAGGGGAGGCCGAGGCGGGAGGCTCGCTCGAGGCCAGGAGTCCGGGGCCAGCCTGAGCAAGAGCGGGACCCCGTCTCTACTCAAAATAGGAAGAAATGAATCGGCCGACTAAAAATATACAAATAAAGAAACGAGCCGGGCGTGGCGGCGCGTGCCAGTCGTCCCAGCCACTCGGGAGGGAGGCCGAGGCGGGAGGATCGGTTGAGGCCGCTGTTGAGCGAGGCTGACGCCACGGCGCTCGCTCCAGCCCGGGCGACAGAGCGAGACTCTGTCTCAAAAAAAAAAGAAAAAAAGAGAGAGAAAAGGGCTCACTCCTTCGCGAATCCCCCCCTGCCAGGTCCCAGCCAGGAGAGGGGGCCTGGTTCGAACAGGCAGAACGTTCTGGAAGGTCTCCGAGGCTCTCCCGCTGGGAAGGGCTGAACAGCAGGAAGCCTGCTGTCTGTAGGACGGGTCCCCCGTGTCCCCTTGTGGCTGCCACAGCCCGTCTTGGGGGCTCGATGACAACGGCCGGGCCGCCGGGCGAGAGGGACCCAGAGCCGCCCGGGGCGGAAGGCGCTAGAACAGCCACCGGGCAGGCCGGGCCGCGGTCCTACCTCTTGCTGGGACGGTACGGGGACGTGAGCGATGAACTTCTGCTGCCCGTCCTCCCCCGCTCTGTCCTGGCTGCCCTCCTCATCCGACTGCAAAGAGACACGCCAAGAGACCCCCCAGATAAAGGACCAGCAGAGAAAATTCTAGAAAATCGACGCTCTGGAAGACACGCCAACTCCCCAGATGTTCGAAAGAAGCAAAAAAAAAGGAAAGA